TATATATATATATATATATGTGTCAAATATTTCATATCTATCTTATATATACCATGCTTTTTATGTTAATAACGTAGCTGAAAAGGAATGTGGGGTTTTATCAAACCCTTTTGTAATAAGCTATCAATCTCTTGCTTACCCTTTCAACAGGTTTATCACCTATTTTAGTAGAAATTATGTGTAGAGATGCAGTAAGATTTCTAGCTGGTCCGATCTCTGAATAGGAGTAATCTTTCAATCCCTTGTTGGAGTTGCATTTTTATTTAAAAGACGGTCATTAACCTCCAGTAAAGAATAAGGCGGGGAATATTCAAATTCTTTTTCAAAAAGTTTTGCAAAACTAGAACTTGAACTATCAGCTAAATTAATAATTTTTTTACGAAGTTTTTCATTAGTAACTTTATATTATATATACATTTAATATATATACTATACTATATATACATCTTATATATTATATATATTCGATATTAAATATTGAATATTAAAATTTAGGATGTTAAATAAAATTTAGGTCACAATTCTATAATAAAATTTACAAAGTATTGCCTTAGATATTTTTTTTAACATTCTTTTGTCTCTAATATCTATTTAATTTAAAAAAAATAAATGTTGGGCCCACTTAGCCCGTTTAGCCCGGGACCAAACAGTCCCGGTCCCGAGTCGGTCCATACAAAAAGCCCATTTAGGCCCGTTTAATTTGGGACCGGGACCGTTTGGACAGGCCCACTTGGCCCGTTTAGGCCCGGGACCGACCCACTTGCCAGCCCTATATGTGCCTGTAGCACCGCCATATCGCACCAAGATGGGTCCCCAAAGAAGGTTAGGAATATATGTTGGGTTTGCATCGCCCTCCATTATTCGCTACCTCGAAACATTAACGAGAGATTTGTTCACTGCTCGATTTGCAGATTGTCGATTCGATGAGGCATTTTTTCCAAAATTAGGGAGAGAAATTGGTGAAATCAAACGTAAAATTTCGTGAAAAAATCCATCATTATCTCATCTTGATCCACGTGCCTCTATTTGTGAAAAATATGTGCAAAAGATTATCCATTTGTAAAAAATAGCAAATCAAATGCCAGATGCATTTACGGATCTGAAAGGATAATGAAATCACATATCCCTGCAGAAAATGTTCCAATCCGTATTGATGTCCCTGTTGGAAAATCTTCTAGTGTCATAGCTAATGAGTCAAAAGCACGCCTAAAGCGTGGCAGACCATTGGGTTCTAAGGATCGAAATCCTAGAAAAAGGAAAATAAATGATCAAGATGACACTACGAAAGAGTCTCATAAAGAAACCCATGATTTAACCAATCCTGAAATTTATGAGGATATCGATGAGCCCGAGACTCAAGAAAATAAGAAACTATCAATAAATCCAATCGATATTGAGACAAATTTGAATCGATTGAATATAATGGTGGATTATGTATTTTCATACAATGTTGCATCTAGCATTATACAAGATAATGAGAATCTTGAACCTCAATCTGTTGGAGAATGTCGACAAAGACGTGATTGGCCAAAATGGCAAGAAGCAATCCAATCTGAGTTGGATTCACTTGCGAAACGTGAATTTTTTGGGTCCATAGTCCAAACACCTAATAGTGTTAAATCTGTTGGCTATAAATGGGTCTTTGTACGTGAAAGAAGTGAGAAAAATGAGGTACAATGATATAAGGCACGCCTTGTTGCACAAGGATTTTCACAAAGGCCTGGTGTCGATTATGAAGAGACGTATTCTCCTGTTATGGATGCTATAACATTCCGTTATCTTATTAGTCTTGTTATCCATAAAAAGCTTGACATGCATTTAATGGATGTGGTTATAGCCTACCTATACGGCTCACTTGATAATGAGATATACATGAAAATTTTCGAGGGATTTAAAATGCCTGACGTACATAATTCAAAGTCCAGGAAAATATTTTCAATCAAATTGCAAAGATCTTTGTATGGTCTAAAGCAATCAGGAAGAATGTGGTATAACCGCCTTTGTGAATATTTATTAAAGGAAGGTTATATAAATTATTCCATTTGTCCATGTGTTTTTATAAAGAAAACAACATCGGAGTTTGTTGTACTTGCCGTATATGTTGATGACATAAACCTTATTGGAACTCCTACAGAACTCTAAAAGGCAATTGATTATTTAAAGAAGGAATTCGAGATGAAAGATCTCGAAAATATAAAATTATGCCTCGGTTTGCAAATTGAATATTTGGCAAATGGAATTTTTGTTCATCAATCTGTCTACATAGAAAAAGGTATTGAAATGGTTTTACATGGATGAAGCACATCCATTAAGTACTCCGATGGTTGTTCGATCACTTGATGTGAATAAGGACCCGCTCCGACTTCAAGAAAAGAATGAAGAGCTTCTTGGTCCTGAAGTACTATATCTTAGTGCAATTGGTGCACTAATGTATCTTTCTAACACTACAAGGCCTGACATAACTTTTTCAGTTAATGTCTTAGCAAGATATAGTTCTACTCCTACAAGGAGACATTGGAATGGAATCAAACACATATTGCAGTATCTAAAAGGGACTACCGATATGGGCTTATTTTATGGCAATGATTGCAGTCCCACACAAGGCTCGATCTCAAATTGGTTATGTGTTTACATGTGGAGGCGCTGCAATATCTTGGCGATCGACTAAGCAATCAATCGTGGCTACTTCATCTAATCATGTTGAGATAAGTGTTATTCATGAAGCAAGTCTAGAATGTATATGGTTGAGGTCTGTAATACACCTAATTCGAGACAAATGTGATTTGAAGTGTGACAAACTACCCACAATTTTGTATGAAGACAATGCAGCATGCATAGCTCAATTGAAGGGATGATTCATAAAAGGAGATATAACAAAATACATTTCACCAAAGTTATTTTTCATACATGATCTTCAAAAGAATGGTGATATCAATGAGCAACAGATCCGTTCAAGTGATAATATGGCTGATTTGTTCACCAAATCTCTACCGACATCAACCTTCAAGAAACTAGTGTACAAGATTGGGATGCGAAGGCTCAAGAATGTGAATTGATGCTCTCATCAGGGGGAATTAATACGCGGTGTACTCTTTTTTCCTTACAAGATTTTGTCCCACTGGGTTTTCCTTGCAAGATTTTTAATGAGGCAACCAAAAAGAGTATTCCTAGATATGTGTACTCTTTTTCCTTCACTAGGATTTTTTTTTCTAATAAGGTTTTAACGAGACACATTATCTATGGACATCCAAGGAGAAGTGTTATAAGAAATATCAAATTATGGTGGATGTCTACTCTTCCTCCATGATCTTCATCTCAAATGCTTAATGACATATTCAATAACATATTTTCTATGTTTAATGACATATTCAATGACATATTTTCTTCACTTTTCATGCATATATATAAGCTTTGTAATAGATAGAAAAATACACACAATTGAAGAAGAAATAAGAATCTCTCATCTCTTTCTCTATATATCTCTTAGCTTGTTTTTCCTTTTTACATATTGTTACTTTGAGTTATATTTTATAACAGTACTAATTTAGTTAGTTATGTTTCTTTCCATTTTTATTTGGCTTGTAATAAGTATTGTGATTTCTTAGGATTATTTGTTGCCTTTTAATATATGACATGCCTTTATCGATTAATCTTTCAAAATTAATTGGAATTTAACTCACGTAATTGTACGTTGAGTATGTTTAACACCTTTCTCTCTATCAGCACAACCTCCTAAGAATTTTAATTAATTTGTCCGTAGGATTCAAACAAATTCAAAAAGGTTTTCTTTCAAACAATTACGTAATAAATTATTAGTTAATTAATTTATTCCTGACATGAGTTAAATACATCTATAATGTATTAAAGGAAGAGGAAAATGTTTACATTACAAAGAGGAAATGAGGAATGATGAGAATCATTTAATCAGTACAAAACTTTAAGTACTTTGGCAACGAATTTCATAATTGCATACACATATAAGTTTTGTACTTTGGCAACGAATTTCATAATTGCACACACATATAATGGCTGTAATGTATTCACAGTCTAATAGCTTATTTGGCCAATCTTTTCCAATCTTAAAAGTATTTTTTTTTTAAAGCGAAAGTGTTTGACCAAGCTTTTGAAAGAAAATAAAATATTTTTGAGCAGAAGTAAAAATTATTTGTAGAAGCAGAAAAAAAATAGCTATCTTTAAAATCACTTTTTTAAAAAATATTTTTGAAAAAAATACACTTAAAATTTAAAAGTTTGATCAAAAACTAATTACTGCTCAGAATACTTTTAAATTAATTAGTCAAATACAAATTGAAAGTTACCTAAGAAAAAAGGTTAGCATAACAAATTAACAAATATTAACCACACAACCCAAGTGGTGACGCAGTAAGTAAGGAATTATACGACAGTGATGATTTCATTGAACAACACGGTATAAATAAAGCGAAATCAATTACACTGGCGGTAAGGCAAAGGTAGTTGGGTTGAGGTTGGAAGAGGAAAGGGGACAGTAATGGACTCCAATTTCTTGGGCCTCACTGCCATTGTTACCGTAACAACTTCCTTTCCCCTTCTTCTTCCTTGTTTGTTTCTATAGGAGCACTCTCTCCTGATGATATGATATTTTCTTAATTGTTTTGCAGTTGGGTTATCAGTTTATATTTTTCGTTATCACAGCACTCCTCAAGTTTGATAAAGTTACTGACTTTGCGGGTAACTATTATTATATCTTCATCACCTTATCTTGATGTTTCTTTGAATTTTCTCTTTCAAGTTCATGAATTTTTACCTTGTACAAATTGAAAAGAATATAATACTTAGGATTTTTTGAATTCAATGAAAGGTTCATTACTGACTTAAACTTTAATGGCCTGGAAAGACACGTTGTTTCGTTCTTGTACAACTTTCTGGTATTGTTCTGCTCTTGTTTTCTCCTATGTTTTGGTTGAGGGGAGGTGTGGAATGGGGCTATTCTTTTGAGATTTGGTAAGTGCTCTTTTATCAGTGAACCGCAGTGTAGTGAACCCATATTATATTGAAATGGATAATGGGAACTACATACACAAATATAAGAGTTCATCTTCAAATAATTACAAATGCTTAAAACAAGTAACCAAATCTTCCATGGGAAGAAGAAATAAAAAAGGGAGAAGGGAGGGAGGTTCCACATCTATCCTCTAAGAAACTAAGGAAAATAAAATAAACCAAGTTCATAGCTTAATGCACCGACCCGCATATTTTCCGCCCAAATTTGCCGCCTAAAGGGCTGCAACACGAGCCAAACTTGGGTGGCAAAGACCAGAACGTGGAGGCAACAATCCGACAGGCTGTCCGGGCCCTCCTAGGGGCCACATTCTACCAGCAAAGTCACATACAACACAACTATGCAGGACCACAGTCTGCCAGGACAATCATGGAAGCATCTCACTGCCAGCAAGGGCATGTGATGCACAGCTGGGTAGGGCCACATCCTGTCTGGGTGAACATGGGAGCAACTGTCTGCCAGCAAGAACTGGGGCACAACAGCTGGACAAGTCAATTGGCACATGGGCTGCCAACACTTTCCTGGAAATCACATGATGCCAGCACAAAGCAGTGCACCACAGCTGGACGGGTCCACAACCAGCCTAGCTACCTGTGGACATTTTCTGTATATATACACATGTATAAGCCTTGTTAGAAGACAGATCTCTTTACTTGTATTTCTTTCTTTTGTATATGAATTAAAACCCCGAAAATTGGCCTTGGTCTCCTATCTTTGTGTGTCTTTCATTTCGTTATCCTTTCAACCTTTGAGTTTGTGTGATTGCCTTGGTCCAAAGCACGATATTGTGCTTGTTTGTTGGAACGGACTGAAGCAAGAGTAGTAGTCAGGCTATCTTGCTGTCCTCACGGGTTACCAGAAAAACGGTTCTGTGACAATTGGTATCAGAGCGAGGTTAATCGACCATGGCAACTGATGGAGATAACGTTAATTTAGACAACATTCGTGGCAGAGACGAGTCACCAACAAAACGGCAGAAATCGAAGAAGAGAGGAACAAGCAAAGTGCGAGATCCCGCCATAGCCGTAACAAGTGAGGCGCCAGTTCCTGAGCTACCCCCACAACGGGTTAGCCGTGGTGAAGATTGTGAGGCTTCTGCCTCAAATCTCTTAAGCGTGAGAATGGATCTCACAGAAGCTGGTTTAGATGCTTTAAATCGGCACATGGGAGATGTTGAACACAACTTCCGTTCGCTTGAGTCTACTACTCTAGATGGACTTGATGAAGTCAAAGAGACGATAGATCAAGCAATTTATGAGCACAAGGAAAGACTGACCAACCTTGAGCTTAAGCTGACCAGGGCTGTATCGGCGTTGCACGGGAAAATTGAGATCCTAAAGCAACAACTGAAGGCAGTAAAGTTAGCCGGTGGCACTGGTCATGTGATAGTGCGTGAGACCAAAATCGAGGATCCAAAACCGAAGGAGTTTAGGGGCGAACAAGACGCTTAAGAAGTAGAGAACTTCATCTGGAAGATGGAAGACTACTTTGAGCACCTTTGCATCGTTGATGAGGCTGCCAAGATCCGGGAAGCGACGATGTATCTTGCCGATACCGCCATGCTATGGTGGAGAAGGAAGAAAGCCGACATGGAAAAGGGAACTTGCTCCATCAAGAGCTGGGAACAGTTCAAGTTCGAACTGAAGCGCCAGTTCTATCCCCAAAACGTTGTCAATGAGGCACGTAGGAAGTTGAGAGAGCTCAGGCAAACAACTTCCATAAGCGAGTACATGAAGGATTTCACTAAACTCATCCTGCAGATTCCGAACCTGGCAAGCGATGACTTGCTATTCACTTTCATTGATGGCCTTCAAGACTGGGCCAGACAGGAATTGCAGCGACGTCAAGTCCAAGACGTCGATGAAGCTATCGCGGTGGCTGAGTCCTTAAATGATTATAGGATAGAAGCTACAAAGGCAAGGGACACCAACTTCCAACCGGATGGAGACCATGGATATCGGGACAAGGGCAAGCAAGTTGCTGCCCCTGACCGCGATTCCAGAGAACAAGGCAACAAGGCGCACTGGCGCGACCGGTACAACCAAAGGAGGAAGGAAGCTGGTTCCCGCAATGGTTGTTACATCTGCAAGGACACTAATCATGGCTACAAGGATTGTCCTTCTTTAAAGAAACTCGGTGCCATAATTACGGCCGAGCGGAGGCTAACAACGGAAAGAATCCAAGCAGATGAACAAGCCAAAGAACAACCACCAGCCATAGCTCATCTTGGCAACATGATACTGGGCGCAGTAGTAGCCGAAAAGCCTACTTTGAAGCAAGCCGCCCAAGGGAAGCATGACATTGTCAAACTGGTTCACGCGTTAGGCGACGATGTGATTGGCAAGGAGTGCCAATCAGGGGAGCCAGGATCACTGTTCGTGGATGCACAATTGAACGGACAATATGTCCTTATCATGGTAGACACCGGAGCGACACACAATTTTGTGTCCGAAGCAAAGGCTAAGTCACTTGGCCTTGTGTTCGGTCCTAGCAGTTCTGTACTGAAGACGGTAAACGCCAAACCCACCAACGTGAAAGGGATTGCTCGCAATGTACAACTCAACTTAGGAGCTTGGCAGGGAAACGTGAGTTTCTTTGTCGCTTCCTTGGACATATTTGATCTGGTACTGGGGCTGGACTATTGGGATGCAGTGAAGGCGTTCATATGCCCATTTCTCAACCATATCTATATTTATGACCCAAGGAGTCCATGTGTGGTACCGACAGTTCGGGTGCCGCAAGTTGTTAGTCTGTTGTCCGCGATTCAAATCGTGAAAGGCTTCAAGGAAGAGGGAGCACCGGTTTTGGCAGTCGGGGACAGAGACTAAGGAGGTCAAGATTGACGAAGCCTTGACTCCTTGTGAACAGCGAGTCCTTAAGGGTAAGGACTTCATTCCGTGGGCAAAGCCGCCTGCCATGGGTTCGTACATGGCACCTCCAAAGTTGGAGGATTCAAGGAAGCAACCTGGAAAGTTGCTTGGGTCGAGGCATGTCAGTCCGTTAAAGGCACCTTGTAGAGACAATGGTGATATGGAGCGGAGGCAATCCAGGCGACCAAATGTTTTTGTAACCCCTCCGGTCGTCAACAAGGAAGTCGAGACCATTATCAACCATCGGGTGATACAAGGAGTAGGTTGGGGCAATTCAAGCGCCCAATTTCTTGTCCGTTGGAAGGGGCAACCGCCAAAGGGGGCATCGTGGGAAAAATATGAGGCGTTAGGGCCGTTCGAAGATCAAGTTCACGACTACTTGAACCGTTGTGGCGCCGCGGTCGTCGCCATTTCAAGTGGGGGAGAGTGCACCGACCCGCATATTTTCGGCCCAAATTTGCTGCCTAAAGGGCTGCAACACAAGCCAAACTTGGCTGGCAAAGACCAGAAGGTCTTTGCACGTGGAGGCAACAATCCGACAGGCTGTCCGGGCCCTCCTAGGGGCTACATTCTACCAGCAAAGTCACATACAACACAACTGGGCAGGACCACAGTCTGCCAGGACAATCATGGAAGCATCTCACTGCCAGCAAGGGCATGTGATGCACAGCTGGGTAGGGCCACATACTGTCTGGGTGTACATGGGAGCAACTGTCTGCCAGCAAGAACTGGGGCACAACAGCTGGACAAGTCAATTGGCACATGGGCTGCCAACACTTTCCTGGAAATCACATGATGCCAGCACAAAGCAGTGCACCACAGCTAGACGGGTCCACAACCAGCCTAGCTTGTGGACATTTTCTGTATATATACACATGTATAAGCCTTGTTAGAAGGCATATCTCTTTACTTGTATTTCCTTCTTTTGTATATGAATTAAACCCCGAAAATTGGCCTTGGCCTCCCATCTTTGTGTGTTTTTCATTTCGTTATCCTTTCAACCTTTGAGTTTGTGTGATTGCCTTGGTCCAAAGCACGATATTGTACTTGTTTGTTGGGACGGACTGAAGCAAGAGTAGTAGTCAGGCTATCTTGCTGTCCTCACGGGTTACCAGAAAAACGGTTCTGTGACATTAAGCCTAATAGAATGTTTCCTATTGTATATATAGGTATATGCTCCATCTAACCCGGGTCCCAAATGTAATTTGCTAAGTTCCCAAATGTGCCCTCAGCCTTAGTCTTTTGGTCATTTTGATTCATAACAATTCCTCCGCCCTCAAAAAAAGAACCTTGTCCTCAAGGTTCAAGTGGATCAATGTGAGTATCTCAGTAGTGTCAAGCTGCAAAACACTACAACTGAATTTGTCAAGACTCAAACATTTGTCGAGAGTTGTTGCAACAAGAGAAATGTCATCATTGTCTTCCTGGTCAATCCAACGGAGGAAATATAGAAATATCTGGATGACGATGATAACATTCAACAAGGAATCCAAAGCGACATTAGCATTTTGAACTCTCTTTTCACTTGATTTGTGCGTAACATCAAATGTGCCAATGATAAGTTGATTTGCCTCCTCAATGCTGCTAAAGTTTTCCAGAATTTTTACTGGTGCATCTGATGGAAATTTAAATTTAGTCAAGAAACGACACTTGAATAAACAAAGTACATGATGAAATTTCTTGAGCACGTCAAACGAAAAGTTAAACTTGAGGGCCTCTCTTAGTTTGTTGTCATCCTGGTGCAGAGAGATATCATATGCTAGTTGTAACAATCTTCTAGCTACAAAAGCATCTCCAACACTGAAGGTGTCCACAGAATCCAGCTTTAAAACCTTAACTTCGTCCACATAATTCCTTGGTATAATGGAAACAAACTTCACGGCCTTTCATGACAAGAAGTAACCTCAGATTTGGACGGCACAACTTAGGAAGAACAACGTTATAATGTGAATCTTCTCCTTGTGCCAAAAAGTAATTCTACTCTTCACCTATCTTAATTATATTAGCATTTTCACATATGCCAAGGATAGCTTTTCTAGCACCTGATGCCAATAGCTTCAAATTGGAAACAATGGACAAGACCACATTAGCATTCTTAGCAGCTTTTGTGGCATGGAGCTGGACTAATTTGTAAGGTTGAGCAACTGTCTTTGCAAATATTATTTTGCCAACTTCAGGCTCTCTATATAGAACGATCTATGTAAGAGGCTGGATACCAATGTCTTCAGACAGCTTGGGGTGAGTCAAAGGACACTCAACGACTTCTTTAATCTCCTGATTCTGCGCGTCTGATCCACCAAAATCAGCATATAACTCTTAAGGAGGTTTTTCAACCTTCATGACAGACACCACGGCATCGACTTCATCTTGTCGAAGCCCAACAACATATAGAACCTCTGTATGTATCCAAGTAGCACGAGGTTCCAAATGGTCTTTTTCCGAAAAGGACAAGATCTTAATGTGACACCAGTAGTCGAGTCTCTGTCTAGTGTCAATGAATTCCGTGTCATTCAAGTCTCCGTTATCTGTAATCCAGGTACCTCGTTTACTGCGTAAATCAGTTTGGAAAGAATTTCCATCTTTGTGGCATATCCGTGCATGTATTTCCGACACCTCAAACCATATGCCATCAGCACCAACCAAAAGATCACCTGTATATTGCTGATTTGCTGTCCATTCTCAAGAATCACAGTAACCTCATCCCCGCAGACTTCTTCACTAACCTCCACAGAATGTTCACCCCTCTTTTGTTGCTTGCCATTGCCAACTTGAATTTGATGCGTTGATAAAGCTAGTATGAAGTCATTTACACTACAACCAATCAAGCTAGCAATATTTCTAATAGCTTCACTTTGCACCCTCCAGTTCAGGAACTTCTTTAAATACTCCAAGAACTCGTGATTCTTAATAGAAACAAGAGCATATGAAACTTTTTCCAGCGCTGGTGTGATAGCGTCCAATTGGTCTTTCAATGAGCCTAAGGTCTTCTCACAAATTCTAGAATAAGGTTTCGCTCCAAGGCTTACTAGCGGCCTAGAAAATTGAATGTTGAGGGCTAATAAGCGTACTTGAATCTTAGCATCATGTGTATGATAATCAAACATTGACATGATGTCAGTCTTGAGGTAAGCATGTGCAACAATAGCAGCAAACTTCAGCAAGTGTGTTGCAACTAACATTCGCACCATCGGCATGTCCTCTTGACACATTTGACCGTAAGTAGATCGAAGTTCTGCCGTCAACATATCTGGGGCACTTGAGTAAGCAATATGAGAAAGTCCACAAGCAGGAACTCTAACTGTGAACCAGTCACCAGCTGCCAACCTCTTTTCAAGGTAGAACCGATTAAACAATTTACTTTCACTCGTGGGGCATCCAATAAATGGGAGATCCGATTGAAAACTATTATCGAACATTTTGGCAACATCGCGTGAGTGTCCATCATCTGAATCGGGATCAAATGGAAAATGAAGCAACATACGGATAATCACATCGACCGTTATTGTTCTAGCCAACACAGTGTTACCACTTTCAAGGAGACCAGTAAATAATACTGTATTTACAAACGGATCACGAAGACGAGTGCAACGCTTGGGGTCACGTAGGTAGTGAACAATTTCCTTCAGATCATCGTGTACCTCAGCAACACCCTTACTGTCATCATAATGGACAGTGATTCTCTCAAGCTGGAGAGCAGAATCACCATTACATTGGCTGGTGGAATCAATGCCATGCTCATTATAAACAACTTCCCAGAACTTGGGGCAGTAGCTTCCATTGGACATTATGTCGAGCACCTGGTGTCCAAGACTTGCACAATACCCCGGAGACAGTCTGCTATGGGATTTTCCAACATCTCAGGAGGTACCTTGGAATTGTCCAGCAAGCCTGAGATTTCGGCGATCAAATCAGAATCATTGTCGCCGACACAGACTATCCCAGTACTGTCCGTTGTATCTTCTACAGTGACCTCCTCTGTTTTTGCATTGTCCAAAGCCATGGAGTCCAATTTCAGCTCCTCCTGCACCAGTGATTGTATACGGCAAATGGTAGAGATCAGACGAGAATTACTTTCTTGCATCACTGTCACCAATTCTTGCAGCGCCTTCGCCGATTCGAAGAGGTTGTTGAATTGAGCGTTATGCATGGTAGAAAGGTAGAGAGGCATGGAGTAAGAACAACGAGAGCACCAATGTAGTGAACCCATATTATATTGAAATGGATAATGGGAACCACATACACCAATATAAGAGTTCATCTTCAAATAATTACAAATGCTTAAAACAAGTAACCAAATCTTCCATGGGAAGAAGAAATAAAAAAGGGAGAAGGGAGGGAGGTTCCACATCTATCCTCTAAGAAACTAAGGAAAATAAAATAAACCAAGTTCATAGCTTAAGCCTAATAGAATGTTTCCTATTGTATATATAGGTATATGCTCCATCTAACCCGGGTCCCAAATGTAATTTGATAAGTTCCCAAATGTGACCTCAGCCTTAGTCTTTTGGTCATTTTGATTCATAACACGCAGTGTTGTTAATCTGACACTCTTTATCATACATGATAATCAGTATTTTATAGACGGTGTGTCATAGCATTTCTTGTTTATCGTAATCTTTGTTTAATTACTGGAACAGTGAAGCAGAATCATTTTCTGATACAATTTCTTAGAGCTGTCAATCAATTCTTTTGGACGCGTTCGCACACTGATACACACACACACACGCAAGTGCATTAGCTTTCTGATTCTAATTTTAGCGATTATTGGACTAATTCAGACTCGATTTTCCTATTTATAGGCGCCATGAGTTCACTCATACTTCACAAGTTGCCTCTTAAAACAGTGGGATATGCCAAAATTTGGCCTTAGATTCATGACAAGGTTATCATTATTGGGGATAAATTTTAGATACCTACTACACTAATAGATTCTCAAGGCATGTCTACTTTACGTACCTTAACCAATCCATTCATCGTGCACCATGGTAGTATTTTCGATGGAGCAGCTCCATTATGACTTCCAATCTCTGACTTAAAATTTATTTTATACTTATATTGTGCCGGTTTCTGGGGATGCTTTTTAACTAGTTTCCTGTCAATTATTTTGATACAGGAAGTACAAATTTCATTGTACTTGCTATTTTGACCTTGGTACTAAAGGGTTCATGGTACTTTCGACAGGTAAGATATTGCATCATTTTGTGATTACTTATTTAACATTTGGTTATTTTGTTAAAATGTTATTTCCAGCCCAGGGCTTTGCCAGTATTTACTTTCCTTCCCCTACGGAGAACAGAAAAAAACACTTTACCTCCCCGAGCTCCTTTCCTCTCCCCTAGGCCCCATGTACAGTTAGTCAGTTACCAGGAGCTTCGGACAACCATTTCCATTTTTGTAAATGGGACCATTTATTCTTAATAAGTTGAAATTGGAAGTATTGGCTTTAGAACTTCCTAGTATTCGACCAGAGAACTTAGTTTTTGAGCTGTTTGTTTTTGTTTCCCACGTATTGGTGTCATTTCATGTTTATTGAAATCTGCATTGTGCTCGAATATGTAATTGAAAGTGCACAGGATATTGTTGCATAAGATTTATTCTGTTTGCTCATTCTGTCTTTCAGGTGATTTTGTCTCTGCTTGTAGTGATATGGGGCCTTCGATTGGGGCTATTTCTATTAATGAGGTAAGGCCAGTATATACTATACACTATTAAACTTGTCTATATTTTTTCCTTATTTTGCGTAACTATTATCATCATTTACAAAGAAATAAGAAGCTAATATTGGTCCTTTTATTCCAGATTCTCCTGCTCGCAATGTCGTAGAATTATAAAATCCCTATGCGATTATGATCCTTTCAATACTCTAATTGTGTATAACATTTTCCAACTTTGGTGCAATTGTCTTAATCATTTGTTCGAATAAGTATACAAAAGAACACTATGATAAGTACTCCTAATATTATACTACCTCTATAAAAATCTTCCAATACGTTTTCTCAGCTACTACTACAATATGGCCAATCTATTTCCGTCTCGTCTGAACTTGAATTGTTATTTTGAGATCTACAAACAATCCGGGGAGGAAGAGAAGAAAACATAGGAGAACAGTAGAGAAAGCTAAAAGAAAACTGGTTAGGGTGAGGAAGGCTAAGTATAAGGGAAAATGTATGGTCAGGCTCACCAACAATGGAGAAAATTCCCGCAAAAGAAAAAAGAACTAAAAAGATCCCGATCGAGAATTGTGCGCATGTAAGTTCTGTAACTGGTTTGAGTTTGTTTGAAGCTTCCATAATTATGTGATGTTGAAAATCTTGAATAGAAAGAGAAAGTTTGTGACTTCCTAGTGAAGATAACTCAACATTAAGAATTTTCAAGTTACAATACCTTCTTTATTTTTAAGCATCTTTTCACATCTATGGATGGTCTATATAGTACCTTTTAAACAAAAAGAAAAAAATTAGACTTACATTAGCTTTGTCTTTTCCCTTCTTCATAACAGGATATTACAGTGGGGGGAGGACAGACGTTTTGATGACAAACGTGACAATCTTGGAAAACTGGCAATATTTTGGATACTTCAGGTTTTGTTTTCTTTTGTCCAAACATCTTGTAAGTTGTCTTGCTTTATTTTGGTTTTGTGCTCTCAGCAGAAAAAGATATCTCGCTTTGGTGAATGAATACTATCTTCCGCAGGCAACAGCAGAATGAGATATCTTGCTTTTGTGAATGACAACATATTTTTTATCGCAGGCAATCTGGGTATGGACTGTTAGTTTACCAGTGACAGTTGTTAGTGCAAGCGACAAGCAGCCTCCTCTTCAGGCTCAAGACATCATTGGTTGGATTATGTGGTCTATTGGGATTTTGGTTGAGATTACAGCTGACCAACAAAAGTTGGCATTCAAAAACTCCCCAGAAAACAGAGGAAAGTGGTGTACTGTTGGCCTTTGGAAATATTCACGTCATCCAAACTATTTTGGTGAGGTTAGTCCTTTGAATTGTCTTCTTATTTAAAAAAAGTCCTTTGACTTGTCCCCTCTATGGTGTTTGAGTTTGTAGAAGTTATTGTGAGTTTTGATGTCCGTGAGGCTCAACCTGATAGAACTAGTGATGACTTGCTTGTTTTCTTGGTTTCAGTTTTCACATTTTTCCAGTTTCACCTTTAACTAGACCGGTTAAACATTTTATACTGCTGTTCAGATTTTTCTTTGGTGGGGAGTTTTCCTGGCTTCCACACCGGTGTTGGAGGGCGCTAAATGGCTTGTTGTGTTTGGACCAGTGTTCCTTACCTTGCTGCTTCTTTTTGTTAGTGGCATACCCTTACTTGAGGTATAATCATTCCTTTGTCTTACTACATTTGCCTATAAACATGAACTCATGCTGTTACATACCTAATTAAACAGGCATCAGCTGACAAGAAGTTTGGAAATGTTGCTGCATACAGATCATATAAGAGAAAAACTAGGTCGGTTTATAGTTCTCAGTACTATTTCCTCTGATTATCAACGTAAAATGGTTAAATTGATATAATTACTGTTTCAGCCCTCTTATTCTGCTGCCTCCTGGAGTGTATGGGAATCTTCCTCAATGGTTCAAAGCCATACTTCTTTTTGAGTTTCCTTTGTACAGTCGCAATCTTCCCCAAGAAGAGCTAAGCTGGTAAAACTTAAGTCTTGTGCTCAAACGTTTGTCCTTCCCATTTTTTTCTATTTATGCATATGATATATGTTGGCTTTAGGTGCTTCTTTTCTTCAGTTTAGTGAAAGCAGCCTCTCTGAACTTCTGGAAAGTCAACTTAATTCACTCTTAACATTTTGTTGATATGTAAATGTATGTGTGTCATAACTACTCGTTTGCTGGGACTCAAATCTCAAGTTCTGTAGTACAGAAGGTTAAACCTTAACTGGACGTGTATTTTGTTTATCCCTTTTTATTGGTTAGATCAAGATTCTTTCATGTATTCTTCATGAGTGGAAATATGGGTCGTCAGGTTTTAAGTATGACGATTGCAAGATTTCTGCCTCATAAGCAATAAAAAGATAGTTTTCTGATGGTGATTCTCTTTCTCTTTGTTTTGTGTTGTTTCTTTTTTCTGTCTATTCTCGACGATTCCTGAAGATATACGAATAATGAGATTTTAATTATCCTACAGGCTTGTTTCTGACTTATTTCCCCTTGAAGGACTTCCTCATTCGAGAAAAAATGTCTTTTTTCCTTCAGTGGGTGATAATGGTTTCCAGCTTTTCTTTCATTTTTTTTCCCCTTTTGCCTTCTATTTTTCAGTAAAGTTGAGTACACAAGGATTCTTCCTCCTGTACTATACTGTTTTGCTTGTTGCACCTTGCAAATATGACCGACGCAGCTACAATTGGTTTCACTTAGAGCCTCTGGCGCATATGCATGTGTGATTTTGTTTATTTGCAAGATTCAACTTTATTTCGAAGACATTGTTATGGAATTGTAAAGAAATTTCTGTTGTTTGCAAGGAATAGAAGAAGCCAGCAAGGAAGCAGAGTAGAACCGAAGATTAGTTGACTGCTTAATTTCTAGGATTTCATACTAGTGCAAAAAGTTTGCTAGCTGGTCGATGCACATATGCTGGAAAACTGTTTCACTTAATTATTACCACGTCCTCTTTTGGCTGCTCAAATTCCCTATTTAACCTCTTCCTCATTGTGTATTTCTGTTCAATAATGTAAATCTTTTGATCAAACCCGATCTCTTTGGTTGTGTTAGTTAAATGTCTCCAAACTTCTCTTGCTTTGTTCCCCAATTGTATTTTGGATTGATCATTGCATTCGCATAGTCGAGTAAACTCGTACATAGCTTGCTTAGTGTTCACTGACAATAAAGCCGCAGTTCAAAGTTCATATGTTTAATGCTTGTTGGAGTTTTTTTAACTTTGCCCCTCTCGGCGCCATCCTACCTTTTTCTTACTTGTGCCTTTTGTAGTGGCATGTTATAAGTAATATTTGATACACGCAAAAGACCTAAAATATGTGTCATTGAAGAAATGTGTTGCTAAATGTGTTTTTCATATAAACTTCTTAACACCTAACCATGGTCAAGTGACAAGATTTCACTTTAACTTTTAACTCTTACGGTTAATAATTTGATTTAGTGTGGAACGCCAGATACAAGTATTTTCCATCAATATTTGCAACTCTGAGGGGAGGAGGGAGAGAGTTATATATAACAGTGAGGAGCTGTTCGAGTTTATTACCATATCTAGATCACTGAATTTCTATTTGCCATGAAAGCCATATCGATCTTTAAAACTTATACATTCTTTGACCTAGATATACAAGGAGGATCATCCATAGATGTCATAATCATCTGAGGTTTGTTTGACAAATTGGTGCATTTCTATACATCTGTGTTTTTGGCTGAGGTGGGATGGAGATACTGAAAGGACCCCAAAACAAAAATGATGGATCCAATGAGCATGACTCAACGCATCAAGAAATGATATCACATGCCTCCCGTTTTATTGATATTCTCCAAGGAAATAACGGCACCAGTGGTGTCCTCAGAGACAGGAGCATGAGACATTAAAATGTATATGACCCAAAGATGAAGGGATACAAGGTAAACCACAGACAATATTTTTGCGGTTGGATTTCTTCTGAGAAACACCATTCCGGCGCAGAAGATGGAATCCAACTGCCGAATCAGTGATCCCAAATGCTGCTGGCCAGATCGCATTCTTTCTTCAAACAAAGGCCTCAACTTTGAGTTGGAGAGCTCCCACAACCCAGACTCCAAATCACCAATTGATGAGGTACTGGGAAAATCAGTTAACGTAGACTTGTTTTCTTCTAGCGACCTTGAAACCGCCTAAATATTATATGAAAAATTGGATTGAGCACTCTGTGAACTATCTGCTATTACAATTGTAATGGAAATATCTTATTTAAGGATATAAATGTACCTCAATTTTAAGCGTCATTGTGGCCTTCTCAGAAGACAGCGCCTCAACCTACAGTAACAAGAGAAACTCTGCCTATTATCCATGTACTATCATCTGCAGAAACCAGGTAATGACTCCCTATTGGAAGTTAGCATGCTTGTTTCACTGTACAACAGCCCTTATGGAACTGAATCTTCTTCTTTTGCAACATTGCTTTTATGGTCTTAGGAGCACTGGCCTCCATGGCCCAAACAAAAGTCAAAAGACTTTTAGCTCATAGTTCAATTGGACATGTAGGTCAGTGGCTAAGATAAACTGCAGTATCTGTTATATTCTGGGATCTACTAATATGAATGTTTGCATTTCGGCATATTGAATATAGAACAGATTCATTTGTTCTGTTAACCAGCAAATATAAGAAATACTAGACAGCTCGAACATTTAGAAAATTGAGAGCAAGACTTCTTCCCAATAAGATTCTATATTCGAGTCACAGTTAATTAAGAGGAGGAACCTGAGCTTGTTTTTGAATCAGATGATCGGTCAATTGACCAAGCCTCCGCTTGAGCTCAATCTCCACTGCAGTTGGGTTTTCCAGTTCGTGCTGTGTTGTCTCAATGCTTCTTTCCAGTGTCTTTGCCTGAGATCCAACGGTCACATCCACCGAATTAGATGAGTTTAACATCATAAAGAAAGCAAAGCAATAGCCATTATATTTTCGATCTTGCATACAACTCAATCATGCTTTTGCACTCTTACAACAATTTCTTAAAATAATATCCGATAGCATCTCCGACATACTAAAACAGTGTTTCAATTTCATGATTGCAGCCTCTAAATATAAGTTATGCTGGACCCACCATATACAATACAAATACCCTACAGAGAAAATGGTCTTTTTCTCATAGCTGTAGAATCATAAAAAAACATTTACATACTAATTACTAACACAATGGTTCATATGGCAGCAGTAACGATCAGGTATTCACAAAGTAGACATATTTTCTGGGCCAAAACCCAAATAGTAGCGATATTCCAACATTAAAATGTGCTAGCAGAAGTGCTTTAAATAAAGATGGAATACAGTGAATACACGATCCACTCAGATCCAATGTTTGCGAAGATATTATGCTATCCTGGTCCTATATTATTTCAAAAGATCCAGCAGAGAAGTAAATTTGGATGGTGCAAAAAGTTGGGTCACCTTTTCCTGCAACAATCCCAATTTATCTGTTAAAAAAGAGTGCTCTGCTTCAAGTATCTCCCTCTCCACTTCAACCCCTTTTGAAGCCACTAACTACAAGTAATTTTCAGTGAAACGGAAAAAGTTAAAAAGATAGGGAAAAGGAAAACTTAGTTATCTTAGAGATAAATCTGCTTAAAGACAAAGAGAAGCCAGCATTGCTTACTTTTTCACCACTTCCCTGTGTCCTAGATATCTTCCTTCTCAATTCTGCAAGACAAGAAGATTATTAAAAAGTTTCATTGATATATTTGTTGTGAAGAAACCTATCTTAGCAACCAAAAAAAAAAAAATCACTTTTACGAACTATTTGTCAATCTCAATCTTTTGTGCTTTTATTTTTTCCACCAATGGATCTTATTCAAGAAAAAGATGTGATCCTATAGAAGCTGACAAGAAAACCGGCCTTCCTGTCCTATGAATCATTAAATCAACCAGCCACAAATATTGCAATGCAATTTATACAATGTTGATCTCTCAAGCAGGGAATGCCACATAATGATGTCATTGAACATTGAAAACTTTGACAACACAAGTTGTCAGAAATTCATATTATCACACATAACCACAGATGTGTTCAGTTTACGAATGCACATCCACAACACAAGTATGGGTATCACCTTTTTCTAACTAGTTTTAAGAAAAAATGTGACGAGATAACAACTCTTGACTCAGTAAACACACCAAGAGCATACCTTCATGAGCCGCTTCTTTTAACTCAACTTGTTGGCGTAGTTCAGCAACCTGATTAATCTGAAACATAAATATTAAACACTAGTTAATAACATGCTTCCTTTACAGTTTTCCAAAGTGTTGATTCTCAAGCAGATTCAATCAGAAGTAATAATATCTGAAGTTGAAAAAGTAATTGCTTCATACTAAAGTCCAATTTAGTAATACTTTCTTCAAGCTGCTTTATTCTTTTAGAAACAGAAAAAATAGGGGAGTACGATATTATGGTGCAAATAACATATGAGGTCTTGGTTCACTTGCTCAAAGCAACATATTGTCTTTCTAGGTGAACTCACTTATTTGTCCTTCATTCACGTTTATTGGGAACAACCTTTNCAATACACACACACCAAAAAAAAAAGAAAATAAAAGAGAGAATATAGATATTCCACAGGACCAAGGTAGAGAACTGCAAAATGAAACAACTACGAATAAGGAGTCATAAATATTCTTTACTTTTGAAACCACATCACACATGATATCAACCCCCAAAAAGTGCGAGAGAAAATGTGTGTTTTGTTTTCGTCTCGTGGAAGCAAAGTACAATAGGATTTCCAAATTCTGCTGAAACAAGGGTTAAAATTTCATATACCTCTACTTCAAGATTCCATTGAACAGAGGCGAGAGACCTTGCAAGTTCAGCATTTACAGTCTGCAAGAAATAGCTAGGGCGTTAAAGTCTGCACTTTCAAATATATATGATTATCTGGAGGAATGCTTTAACCATAATAACTATCCAAATCCGTTGCCAGCTTGCCCAACAATTGTACCTAAAATATGTAAAAGCAGAATGATAAGCAGATTGCAAAGTACCTCAAGCTTTGCTAATCGTGTAAGAGTTTCCATTCTAGTACTATTATGTTTCTGCTTCTCCAACTCAACAGCTTCCATTGTTTCCATCATTTTAGTCTGTAACTCAGAAGCCTATAACAAAGTAGTCATAAGCATGGTGTTGGCCATAACATTGAAATACCTTATGAATCTTCTCTGAAATTCTGACTTTTTAACAGTGAAGAATGTTGGTGGACGTAAGAAATGACAAGGGAGAAGTACAATTTTATACATGGGAAGAGAAAATTAGCGATAGAAGAGGCAGTATTTTCATTCCCGACGTTCCCCCAAACGATTTTGTTCGTTAACTAATCAAAGACCTGATACAGTTTCGTTTGGTGTCAAGTTGTTATAATTGCAAGGCGAATGAGAAACAACGTATACCTTTGGTTGCAGATTCTAGTTCATGCAGGCCACATTATAAGAAAATAAAGGAAATTTTCTTCCAT